ACCTGGGTTCAATGCGTACTCATACCCAAACGACCCACTTTCTTGCATCATTCGCGATTTTCCGGTCACATATGAAATGTTGAGTTTTTTTGCTCACAACCGCCGATGCCGGAACTTCTGCGTAATCAGGTCTTTAACGCAATTCCAGAAATAAGCCTATCCCAGACTTCACGAAACTTCATTTGATGTGAAATTTCACACTTCACTACCATTGTATATGACGTCGCACAAGGTGGTTCGAAGTTTATTTTCTTTGTGTTCTATAGAAATGTGTTACAATTCTTTGACCGAAATCCAATATCAGTAGATGTAAGTAAAAAATATCAAAACGAAGGAACTTGATCAGCATGATTTTCCACACATTTCTGTTTATTTTCAAACAGCAAAGAGGAGTACAGTTTATACCTTCGCCACAAACGTGGACGTGTGCGATGCAGATTACAGGAATCATTGAGCAGCGAGTAAAGTTTCGCAAGTTCGCTTTCGGTGATATGCTGCTCTATAGTAATATTCGCCACTCGTTGAAGTGTGATTTAGGTCTCCAAGAGACAATAAATTTCAAAAACAACGCTGACCAACTTTCTCGTTAACTCTAGTGGCTCTCTCTGACGTGAAGCTGACTATATGGCGTTCAGCACTTTATATGGTTTGCCTATGTGTGAAATTAGAGAAATCGTGTGAATTGTTGAATGGAATTCATTAGAGCTACTTGCACAGAAAGAGAGGGAAAAAGAAAATACATTTAGAGAAAGCCAGGGAGATTAACGAGAATTGTAGCATCCTGTTTGCTACTCTGCACAAGGGGGGGGGGAATCAATAAGGAACATGAAAAAAAAGGTAGTGAAAAGTAGACACTTGAAGAAAAAAATAACAAGAGTGCAGGTGCTATAGCCATCTGAATAATTCACTATGATGGAAAGCTTTCAATAAGGCCTTGGCTGATTATCTGTGTAAAGATAAATTATGTCATCATTTGAGTGCTGAATGTTCCGACAAGGGTCTGTCGTCAAGGCGGCCTAACTCAGCAGCTTGTGGCATTCTGTGCCCACTGTAGCGAAGGCTGTGGCAAAGAACTCGCTCACATGGGAAAACATTTGCAAAAGAATTGACGAAAGTGACATCAAGCCACAGTCTGAGAAGCACCATTGTCTTAAGTGAAGAGAGTCCAGACGCAGGCTGATGTCGACGAGACGTGTCCAGCCTGTGCAGTCGCGTGTGCCGTAAACTTGCTGTAATCCACAAGGTGTTTACATCTTCCCTGGCAATCTGTCGTATTTTCATGGCAGCACCCGCTCTTGAGAATGGTATGGCTTCTTCGACATCGTCTTCGTGTGCTGATGGAGCAGCTTCTTCGGCATATTCGTTTCCCATTAGCCACAGTGACTTGGAAGCCACTGAAACGTGGTTTCATGGCTTTTGACGAAAAGTTGGTGGAGCAGCTCTCTGATTTAATGTCCTACTTTTTTATGAGGTCCCCGACGTAAGGCGAATACCGAAAACTCTAGTTCTGCATCGCAGTCCATGAACACGCTCTTTTTCTCGACTTGTTGAGTGTGAATTACTCAATTACCTAATTACTCACTTACTCACTTACTCCCTCAATTACTTACTCAAAGCGCGCTACGCATAGTAGCAGGTTCCGCAGCTGTCGGTGTCGTTTAATTGGACAGCTGAATCTTCGTCGTGGTAGCAGTTGCCAGAAGGATCGCCGACACTGCAGACCCATTCATTATTGTCGAAGCGTTAGGGAATGAATGATTATGCTCACGGTACGTTTTATACATAAGACAACAGAAAATTGTTTGAGTACTAGAGACGAAAACCGAGCGTTGGACTGTATGGCTGCAACCGCGAATCTAACCTGCGGATGAGTTACGCAGCATGATGGTGTTAGAACTCTGGCTGGAGCTGTATATCCATTTCACAGGCGTGTACGGGTGGACAACACTGTCATACTAAATGATGCACCACTTTGGTCAGCTGGCACTGCGGCTAAGTGGTATATGGAGAAGCGCGAGCAAGATGCCTCATGTGTGCTCTAGGCTCTTCTATTAACATATGTGTCTTGGCCGGGTAATCATTTGCAAGTACGATTGTCTCGGCTATTAACGAACGTCGCAGTAGGCCCATACAAATGCGCCGTAGCGTGGACTCCTACGAGAGTGCGCATGCTGATTCTGCACGTATTGGTCGACACACGCAAGCTGTCTTGCTCATAGCAGAAAAAAAGCGTCTTGTACAAACTCTGCAATGACTTTAGGAGATAATTTTTTTTTCACTTTCTTTTAAACGTAGCTATGACCTCTGCCTGCTTATAGCAGATATCATGCTGATGGTATTGAATGATGTGAAGCACTGTCGCCAATATTGAAAGAGAAAGCCTTTGAGATTCAGAATACACGTGCAACGTACATCGTATTGGGCTTTCACTAATCAACGTTTATATTGGGAATAGTTGCCTACTACTTTTGAGAACGCTCCACCACGGTGGTGTAGTGGCTAAGGTACTCGGCTGCTGACCCGCAGGGCGCGGGTTCAAATCCCGACTGCGGCGGCTGCATTTTCAATGGAGGCGGAAATGTTGTAGGCCCGTGTGCTCAGATTTGGGTGCACGTTAAAGAACCCCAGGGCGTCAAAATTTCTGGAGCCCTCCACTACGGCGTCTCTCATAATAATATGGTGGTTTTGGGACGTTAAACCCCACATATCAATCAATTACTTTTGAGACCAGGTTCTTTCTAATGATAAATAAACCTTTAAACCCAGCGATTGGTTGTTACGTCTTCAGGATCTCTGCGGCGTACCTGTTGCGTTGCAATGGGCTGTGTTTGTCACAATATGAGCTGTTCTTCAAGGGGTGTCTTCCTTTATTACCAAGTAGGGCTTTCAGAATAGACGGGAGGCAGACAAAATGTCAGAAGTTTGCACTAAGCAGCAAAACTTCGCACATCAAAGCTGATTCATCTTCAGTTCATGGCATTCGAACCTCCGGCTGTCCCACTCGCACGGAGAGAGCGTTTGCAAAGGTGGCCGTTGCCCGCTTTCTGTTCGTACCGTGGTTCTCCGACGGAGGATCAAAACAGTAGACAGTGTGAGGTCCAGGAAAAAATGGAGAAAATTGTGATTGCCCAGAGTGCATTGATGATGAGAATCGCTGAGCTGTAGACTTGTGAAGTCGGTGGAGAGGACTATTTTGTCAAATAGTGAATAAAGTTGCACAAATCTCAAACTGCTGAGACTTTGAGTACAAAATCCTATAATAAAAACAGATGTGCTGATATAATACATTCAATGCTTTTAGCTCTGAAATGCATTTGTGTAAAACTTTGGCTGGAAGAACTTACGCACTAGCATGTCGCCTCCCTATGCAAGTGTTGTGTTTTGTTGCTTTTACAGAAAACACGGAAAACGTTTGATGAGATTAGCTTGCCAGACACGGTCAAGAGATTGAAAGGAGACATGCTTTCGGATAAGGTGGCTACAAAGTACTATCAGCGTCAAATGAAACCTGAACAGTGGCGCCTTCGTGATGCTATAGTACACGCCGTCCACTTATCACTACTAACAGGCACGCATATGTGCGGAAAGCTGTAGAACAAGATGCGCGCATGGTGATTTTGAAACGCTAAACCCCACAAATCAATCAATCAATCAGGATGCACGCCTCTGTCAATCGCGATAACTGGACGGCATGCACTGCACAATCGAAAAGGCTTGCCGCTGTTAAGGTTTCACTTGACGCTGATAGTACGTTTGGCTAGGTGCCAAGGGAAATGGCACTTCAGAAGACAGCATGCTGCCAAATCCCGCTTGGTATGATTTTTTGTTTGCATTACGTTATTTCTTCAAGCGAATCTCTCAATAACCCCTTGCATTGTTTCTGGCATAAATAAACAGCATATTCAGCTGCTCAACACCTGAATGTTGAGATATGATTGGAGATCTGATCTGATTGATGTGTTGTAGTTTTCATTTTGTTCTGTGCTCAACGGAGAGATGTGTTCTAGCACATTGCAATTGCCTATGTCATTGTTCAATATTTTTGCATGTTTCAATTGGTTACCTCTTAGAATTGCACAAAAGCAGATCTGTTGTTTTACAGATTTATAATGTTGGTAATGTGTTTTTATGGTGGCCGCCTTTTAGTGAGCAAAACGAGCTTTATGTGGCCAACAACGTGTACTACCACTAATAAGAAAAGTTCATGTTTGTATTTTTCTTTTGTTATTGGTGCAAATATGCTGCATTTTGTGTCATTCTTAGTAGGCTTTTCACGCTTAGTGCAGAAATAGCTGCCACCAGCCCTCCCCTCTCCTCTACATAGAACATAATTTTGTCCACTATGCTCTGGAGTTTCACTCTAAAAGGCTATTAATGAAATACGCGCCATAGCACTTTACCCCTTGGGGTAGTATGACATGTTTTACAACGAAACTGCGTGGCCATAATAGTACCATGCCTGTTTGCTGTGATTATGTAGCGGGAACAGCACTTGTCTGCTAACCTAAATGTTGTGGGTGTGATCATCCCGTGGCAGCCCCATTTGGATGGAGGTAAAATACCATGGGCCCATGTACAATATCTGTGCGTGTAATTACCACCAATTAGCAAAAATTGCTAGAGCCCTCTACTATACGACATATTTCATGATAATATCTTGGCGTATGATTAATATTTTGGTAGTTTTTGTTGTTATGCTTTCATCAAAATGCTGCTTCACCAGCTCTGACCTAATACCGCCATCTCATACTTAGAGCCAGAACACCTTTGCTGTCTGAGGCAGTGCACAATGAGGAAATATGTTGTGTAGAGAACTTAACTTTCTGAATGTGTAAAGTGACAGCAAGATTGCATTTTGATTTTCTCAGTTACTTTCGATATTTCTTGCTTTCTCTGACAGCTTTCCTGTGAATGACATGCATGTAGCAGGAATATTGCGTTTGTTAGAGACGTTTGCATTTTTTTTGCATTTGCTTAAAGGAAACCTCTTAATTTAACAGGTCACTTCCAAAGCAGCATGACGACTTTTGGGCGTCAGTTGAAGACATGGATGGGCCCGACCCTACTGAATATGAAACTCACTGAGGGTGTGTCAAGTACTCTTTTGGCGCAGCTTCTTTTTCACTCATTTGTAGTATCTGCCGTATTCTTGTCAATAGAAATTTCTTCAATACTCATCTGCAGTTTATATGTAAACTTACACATGCCCTTGTATGCATGCAACATGTAGTCACAGTGCGCAATGCACAGTCGACAACAAAGGCTTACGGACCATGCAAGCGCATGGCCAAAAGCCTCTTCAAGACACTTCCGCTACATCAGCGCTGGTAGACAGAACCGCATCACTCGAAAAGCATCCCTCTTTTAATCGATAGCCTGTCTCTCTTCTACTGGCTACAAATAATTATCCCCTTTTTTCAACGCGACGCGTTTTGCGGCATCTGCGGCTACGTGCTTCTGTCTTGAGAACAGTCTATGAGCGTAACTGCTATCAGATGATACAATATTTATCACAAAGGAACACCCAACGAAATGCCGCTTAAGGCACGCCATGATAGTTTTGATCTCGCTATGAAAACAGCAATGTGATGGTCATACTGCGGATGTAAACTAACATTACAAACACTGAACTGATAATGCGCTACGGGGAACCAGGAAATTGGAAAGCCAGTGAATTGATTGATTGATTGATTCATTCATTCATTCATTATATGTGGGGTTCAACGTCCCAAAACCAGCATATGCATTATGAGAGACGCCGTAGTGGAGGGCTCCGGAAATTTTGACCACCTGGGGTTCTTTAACGTGCGCCCAAATCTGAGCACGTGGAGCCAGTGAATTACAAGGAGGGTCGTTTCCAGCACCAGAACTGCAGTCGATGGTCAATGGCGCACCGCAAGGTGGTGCGGACAGGCAGTGTGGCACGCGCTCGCGTGGTCCGCGAACTTTTGAAGTCGATTGTACGTGTTTTGTGCTTGTTCCTAATTAAAGAAGTTTGTATGCAATGCACTTGGCTGTTGCACAAGCGGAGGTTTATCATTCTATATTGCCATCAGTCGAATTTAAATTAATGACAGTGTTGCGATTTCAGAATTTAAAATGACGCATAGGTTTTTATGTTTTCAAGTGCTAATCTGATTTGTTTTTTTTTCAAAAATGCAATTTGCTAGAACAATGTGTGTGCTTTAGTCTAATTTCAGTTTTTTCAGTGTATGTTCACAAGAACTGAATCATCAGCATCCGGAAGCATAAGATAATTTGTTTTTTGATCTTCAGCAACTGCAACTTCAGAGAGTAGGAAAAAATACTATAGAAGACTGCTTTTAAAAAACACAATGAATAAAAGACATCCCTTAACCTCTCTATCGTTTACACAGTGTTACCTTTGGGACTTGTTTGGGACTTGCAAGGGATAACGCTGGCTTCAGGAAAATGCGGCCAAATTGACCTGCAAGGGACAGACAGACAGACAGACAGACAGACAGACAGACAGACAGACAGACAGACAGACCGAAATTTTGTCGTCGAAGGTCTCCAAGAAAGACAATCGTCTTTAAACCATCACTGGTCATTGTGGCGGAACAGTGCAGACGACGGGATGAGCACTATGCAGAACGCAGCACTATCAACCCATTTCTTTATTGGAAAGCGATATAATAACAGACAAAGGCGAATAAATATTGAAAACGCTGCATACGCAATACATGAAGTTACTCGGTCGGAGGCATTTCTATTTATTCTGCTAAGGGTTTACCAGGTTTTATGGTCAGCCTAGTCACGCGGTAGCGTTTGTTCATTTCTTTAGTGTTTATGATAGCGATTCCTTTCTAGCATCTATCTATCTATCTATCTATCTATCTATCTATCTATCTATCTATCTATCTATCTATCTATCTATCTATCTATCTATCTATCTAGCTATCTGCCTGTCGGTCCGTCTAGCTGCCTACGTCTTGGTGATCTCCTGATCATCCCTTTAACTTGGGCGAAAGTAAAGTTAGTATAGTAGGGTAAGATGGTTTGATGAATACGACTCACTGGTCATGACATTGAGAAATTCGCGACGCGCGCGTGTCTTGGGAAATGAGGTTATGCGAAACATGTAGACAGAATTTTTTTTTGTTGAGCGACATGTCATAAAATGACGTTGAGTATATGTACAAATGCTGCGCACACAGACATATGTTGAACAGTGGCAGATAATCATTTAACAAGTTGTTTGCACTTGCGAAACGATGCCAACTTGAACTTGAGTCTTGAAAAAAGAAAACAGAAGCAATATTCTGATATAAGCGCCAGTGTTCACGAAGATTGCAGCCCTGGATACTGCTACGTATATCACTCAGCGGATGACACCTAACTACAATTGACGATAACCCGACGTTTCGGCTGTAAGATAGCAGTTCATGAGTACGGTTTACAAAATAAGATATCTAGAACTCCAATTACAACTGGCGTTTCACGAACATTAGGGTATATTTTAAAAAGAGTCCCGAGACGTAACGTGGCTCTGTGGTAGAATAATTGATTACCGCGCATAACTAGCGTTTGATTGATGCTATAACTTTGACGCTTATTCTTCGCATTGTTCAAGTCAACGATGCTGGTGTCAGCTTTTTCTAAACATTAATGCGTTAAAATTACCCTGGTGTGTTCTCGCCACCCCTGGGTAGACACAAACTGTCAATCACCTGTGGCACATACCCACACACCGTGTAGCAGAAAGTGGGGTACATAGCCGCATACCGCTGTGTAGCAGAAAGTGTTTCGCAACGTACGTACGTGACATGATAGTGACATTATTCATCTTTTCACTACCGAGTCGTATTCGTCAATTTATTTTACCATCTAATGCTGATTTTTGTTCACGCCTAGTTTAGGGGGGGATCATCAGAGCACCGAGACGTAAGTGGCAAGATAGATTGATAGTGCCAAGCACTTTTTTTCACTTTACTTTTTGGTATTCGCACACACAGCCTGCCATAAATGCTCTGCGCAAACTGGGCCTCATTGTTCGAGAACGTTCGCGACTGTTGTAGATCGTTCTGTTCAGATAGTGCGCAAGACGCGAATACTGTTGAATGATATGTGGGGCTTAACATTCCCAATTGTTATTATGGGAGACGCTGTATTGTAGTGCTCCGGAAATTTTCACCGCCTAAGTTCTTTAACGTGCACCCAAATCTGAGCACACGGGCCTACAACATTTCCGCCTCCATCGAAAATGCAGCCGCCGCCGCAGGGTTTTGATCCCGCGACCAATCAGTGCTAGTGTGCTACTGTATTCTGACTTTCCGTTTACCGGCCACAAGTTCATTGATTGATATGTGGGGTTTCACGTCCCAAAACCATCATATTGTTACAGCGAGCTGTGATGAAATGGCTTTATTTACAAGAGGTGAGCGATGGTCGTTCGCGGCAGCGCACTGCGATATTGCAAGACTCTTCGTCTTCCTCTCCTTCTCTTGTCTGCCTTTTACTAGCCAGTTACATTCCCCCGCAAGCAGACGAAGCCAGTAGGGCGAGTTATGATGCACACGGAGGGTAGAACGGTTTCAGGCGAGCAATGTGAGTGAGCTGCGCTCTGCTCGATCGTCGACCATCGGACAAAAGATGGGCTATTACGTAAGTGAGCTGGCTGAGACGCTCCAAAACTACAAATGGGCCTGAATATCGTAACAGAAGCTCTTGACACCATCCACGCTTGCGTTGCGGTGTCCAAAGCAACACCAAGTCACCTGTTTCGAATAATACCGGTTCGTGACGGTCGCGTAACGTTCCTTCGAGCGGCGTTGAGAGACCAGAGTTCGAAGACGAGCGATTCGACGGGCTTCTTCCGCGAGGCACAGGGTGTTCGATACAGATTCGTCATTGTGTACATTGAAGGGTAAGAAAGTTTCTAGAGGGCTTAGTGGCAACCTGGCGTACAACAGATAAAATGGGCGGAAGTTTCTTGTTTCATGTTTCGCCGTGTTGTAGGCGTACGTGATAAAAGGCAGCACTTCATCCCAGTTCTTGTGATTGGAAGAAACGTAGATGGCAAGCATGTTGGTCATCGTTCTGTTTGTCCGTTCGACGAGGCCATTCGTCTGCGGATGAAACGGTGTGGAATGACGGAACTGTGTCGTGCACATGCGTAGTAATTCTTCAATGGCATCAGCAGTGAACTGGCGGCCACGGTCACTGATAATAACACGCGGTGGGCCATAGCGCAGGACCACGGAGTGGAGCAGGAAGACTGCCACGGATGCAGCGGTAGAAGAGGGAATGGCTGTGGTTTCGGCATACCGCGTAAGATGATCTACGCAGACGATTATCCAACGGTTCTTATTGTTAGATAACGGAAATGGACCCATAATGTCAATTCCAACTTGTTGAAAAGGCGTGCTGGGTGGTGTTATTGGCTGAAGGGGACCTGGTGTAGCGGTGGCCGGGCGCTTGTGACGTTGGCAGGTCTCGCAGCTAGCGACGTAACGTTTCGTTGTTTCGTACATCTTGGGCCAGTAAAAGCGTTCCTGCGTGCGGATCAGCGTTCGTATGAAGCCGAAATGACCGGATGTCGCGTCGTCATGCATAGCACGTAGAACATCGGAGCGAAGGCTCTCGGGAACAAGCTAGAAGAAAACGTGCTCCATGTATGGAGTAGTCAGTTTTATAGAGCAACTTGTCTCGGACCGTAAAGCGACTGCTGCGTTGGGAGGCACGTGCGGCGGCAAAAAGAGGATCCAGGTTGAGATCGTTACGTTGTTCTCTCTGGAAGTCAGCCGCGTTGGGGAACGTGCTTGTAACAGCGGCAAGGCAGTCGTCAAAATTCTCAGCATCGCAGTCGGTAGTCGCAAGAGGAATCAGGGAGAGGCAGTCTGCGTCAGCGTGACGACGGCCACTCTTGTTCGACACCGTAAAGTCATATTCCTGAAGTCACAGCGCCCAACGTGCGAGGCGGCCAGAGGGGTCACGCAAACCAACCAGCCAGCATAAAGAATGGTGATCGGCAATTATCTTAAATGGCCTCCCGTAAAGATAACAACGAAAATTTCGTACGGCGAAAACAGCTGCCAGACATTCCTGTTCCTTAACTGCGTAATTG